GTAACTGAGTGCAATGTCCTCATATTGTTTTCTTTAAATAAGTTCCTCAAAATAAATGACTAAACTTCAGGGGTGCCTGGGTGGCTGAGTTGGTTAAGTGTCCCACTTTTGATTTTGGCTCAGGTCATGATCTCATGGTTCATGAGACTGAGCCCTGTGTTGCGCTCTGTGCTGGCAGTGTGGAGCCTGCTTGGGATTCTGTCTCTACCTATCTGTTCCTTCCCCACTTGCTCTCTCTCTCTCTTTTTCTCAAAATAAATAAACATTAAAAAAAATAAATTACTAAACTTCATATGGAATTCTGTTTATGCCTATAAAGTTTGTAGATAACCTTCTAAGTAAAAATGATAAAAATTATGGAAATGAAGGTATTAGGTCACTATTTTTTTTTAATTTCATGTTTCAACAGTAAGCACTATCTATGTATTGCCCACTATGAAAGACAAGAGGTACACATAATTCTTTCCTGCTCCCCAATTTTGCTATTATACTTTTTTTTTACATTTTTAAGATTTATAATAGTTTCATTCTATTCTATGTCTGTAATTCTCAGAATTGGTAATTTTGTTCTATATTTAAGTAGCTTTATCATGGTTTCGCCTTTCCGAGTTTTTATTTTGATTCCTTTTTTAAATGACATTTTATAAAAGAGCTTCTTTTTTCGAGGGGACGTATGTGCTATATTCCCTGAGCTATTACACACAGGAGATCATCTATCTTTGTTCTTAATGCCTGAAGGACAATTGGGGTAATTATGAATATTTTATTTCTGTTCCATATTCCTCTATTTTTCCTCAATCACAGCTTATCATTATGTTGATGCTTTTGTCTCCATTTCAATCATCCTCTCTCTAATTACTTTCCTATTTTTGTTTTTTTATTTCCTTTTGTATGATTTATTCAAGTCTGTGCTCTATGTTTCTAAATGTGTTTTCATTCTTTTATATTTTATATTTTGTTGCTTTCAAAGTAGCCCATCTCTCTGAAAATGGTTTGATTTATTTCCTTCAATTATTTTCCCCTGAGCTCTGCCAGTTTATTTTTCCTCTTTTTGCTGCCTCTTCAGTTTTTCTGTTTTCTTTTGTGTCTATTTTCCACATTTTTGTAATCCCTAGAAAAGTCATGGTGTTTGCGTCTTCTATGGAGAATGTTTTGAGGTTTCTCCATTTTCTGGGATAAATTTCTCTTTGGGCAAACTTTTCTAATCTTCAGTTTGCTTATATTCTTTCCTCCTTCATTTTGTGTGCTGGTGTCTCTCTAGTTATGGCACGCAGGTGATTCTGTCTGGAGCAGCTATTGCTGAATTCTGAGGGGACGGTAGCCAAAGTGAGGTGGGTTTGCCTTCAAGTTTCCGTTTGGGTTGGCCATCTGGGACTCACCCTCACAGAATCCTCTGCATCCTCTATCCTGGTCACGCATCTCCATTTAGCTTTGACATTCAAGAATAGCGCTATAAATTGTCAATAAATGCGTTATTGGAAACATATTTGCATGAGTAATGTTTCTCAATAAATATATTTAGACATTGATAATTACTATTGATTTCATCATTAATGATGGCTGCAAAAATTCAAGGATCCCTGCTTTTCTGTATATGAAATTAAATATTAGATATATTTATTTAAGGGTAACTTTATATTAAACATAATTCTTTCAGATAGGAAAGTCTATTTCATATAAAGGTTCAGTGCGGAACAATAAATACTTGAAGAAAGTACATATATGAGTATGGTTTCAGAAGCTATTTGCCAATGATTATGCATCCAAAAGGAAAATAGGGGCGCTTGGGTGGCTCAGCTGGTTAAGCGTCGGACTCTTGATCTTGGCTGAGGTCATGATCTCACAATTTGTGAGTTTGAGCCCATTGTCAGGTTTTGTGCTTGTGGCGTGGAGCCTGCTTGGGATTCTGTCTCCCTCTCTCTCTGCCCTTCCCCTGCTCACTCTCGATCTCTCTTTCAAAATAAATAAAAAATAAAAACTTAAAAAAAGGAAAATGTTAGTATGATTTCATATTAATATTATGATATATGCGATCATGTTGTGTATGATTAAATACCACACATAGGATTTAGTGTATAGCTTAGGACACAGGTAATTTGTCAGAATTGCACCCATGATCTAAAATAAAATAGATGTGCAATATAACTTAAGTTGGAGAAGTTTCAAATGTAGGGAAAACAATTACATAATTTATAAATCAGGATTTTCTTTAAGCTTGTGACTAAAGGCACATTTTCGTATCTTCTCTTATGGTAGTTTTTCCCTACGACTTTAATATGAGTATAGGGTTAACTCAGTTCTTTGCAATGTATAATGTATAATATGGGAATTATAAATTGTAAATGTATAATATGGAATTTCAAACAAAAGTTTGACCATTTCAATACATTTTCATTTATTTATGAGAACTGAGTTTTATTCATAAAGCATAATGTATCTTTTCATATGACTCTTTGGAATTATTCTCAGAACCTTCTTATTGACTGCTGCCTTCTTTACGTATGCTCCTATTTTTAGTGCTTCTTCAAACTGACATAGTTAAAAGAATTATCATGCTGATAGGATTGGCTCTTTATGCCTTAAGTAAAAATTGCAAAAGGGCACATGGGAAAAAACAAAGAACATTTTAAAAACCTATAAACGGTACAAGGACGGACATCAGGACATATGGAACTGAGTAGAATAACTAGCTAGAATGGTCTAATATTTTTGGATAGTAATAAAATGATTAGCAGTAACAAAGCGTATGCGTAGATAACAAGACACTGTATGAAAGCCACTTATTTAGTCAAAATATTTTTAGCATTATAAAGTTAGAAATATGTAAAAGTAGAGGAAGAATAATTTATGATATAATTATTCCCATTCAACTTTCTCATCTTAGAAGAAATCCTTCATTTAATGGAGGGTGAAAAAACTAGTTTTAATTAAATAAGAGTCATGCTGATTCAATTGCTATTTATGTTGTATATCCATAGTCAGATAACTTTTTATTGCTGTGCTCTATTTTTCACTGTTCACTTAAGACATAGAAAGCCTAACATTTCAAAGATTTTCATTCAAATACATTGATATTTTTAGTAATATGCATGGAGTCTATATTGCCAAAAAACCCTGTGATGACATTATTTTATACTGAAGTGAGTTTTTCTTTTTCAAATGTTGTTTGCTTTTTTGGCTTGTTTGGTTTTTCAGTATCCAAAGTATTTCTGAATAGAGGCCAAATCAGCCGTGCATCATGGTATAAATTTCAGTCTATATTGAACTGGGTAATTGAATGTGTGTATGTGTATATAATTAATGTATTAAAATCATTTAATATTACGTATATTTTTCCTTTTTTCTGATGGCACGGATGTCGGCGTTTTGAGAGAATCTAGTAGACAGTATTAATTTTGTTTACAGAACTCAATCAGTCTGATAGTTAGCTACCCACAAAGACACGGAGAGTCAATATGCTTAGTGGAGAGCTTTGGCGAGCCAGAGTTTCTGTGTTTATGCTGTAGCACCTTCACATATTAGCCAATACGACCTTTGGCCAATTATTAAAACTCTCAGTGTTTTGATCTATAAAAAAAAAGTTCCTTTAATGGGTTATCGGGAGGATTTAAGTACATTAAACCTGTAAATTACTATCATGGGGACATTCTAAGGTGCTGAATACAGTTTAATTATTATTCGATCCCTTTGGTTCATTTTCCTGGCTCCCTGACCATGCAGTTTGGCTTGCAGAAGTGTCTTACATGGGTAGTGCATTTTTCAACACTAAATTTCAATGCTTTTTGGCAGTGTATATATCCTATAATGACAAATCCTCAGCATTCTCTACTTTCCTATATCTACTGCACATACCAAGTGTAAGCAGCCTTTCTATGAGGCATTTGAGTTCAGAGTCTCTGGTAAAAGGATTTATATGTGCTGCTCTTAACTGTCTTCATCTGACTTCCAAGAATTTCTTTATACCCTACCATTCTCAGATCATTCGATCCCATTTTCTCTCAACCTGGTCTAATCAAATTAGAACCCAGAGCCCTCCAAGGGATGATATTTTGGAACTGTAAGCTCTAAGAAGCACCATAAACATTATTTGTTTCCTTTCATAATGGATATCCAGTTGTAGGCTAAGATCACCAAAATAGTTTAGTAATACAGTGGTTAGTATCCTCTCGACATTCTGCACTTGACATAAGAATAAGTCCTTGCAAAGGAAAATCATTGGTTTAAGTTCACACTTTATACTGGAAATGTGGTGGTGTCACACTCTGGATAAAGCCTGTTTTTCTTAAGTCTATTTATTTATTTATTTATTTATTTATTTATTTTGTGAGAGAGAGAAGAGAGAGGGAGAAAGGCAGAATCCCAAGCAGACTCTGAGCTATCAGCACAGAGCCTGATGTGGGGCTCTATCCCATGAACCATGAGATTATGACCTGAGCCAAAATCAAGAGTTGGATACTTAAGTGACTAAGCCACCCAGGCACCTGGATAAATCATTCTATCGCACCTTGCATTCTGAAGAATTTTGCTTCTACATTCAAATTAAAGTCCTCATAGTTGTAAACACTTCCCTTTCAGAAGGAAATGCCAATGTTTCAAAAGTAGTCATTGGTCTGTAGTAAAAGAAAGTTTGAAAAGGTTTTGTATTTAAATATTATCTATTGAATTGGAAATTTAAGATAATAAGCAAATTGCTACCTAAGAAATTATGTGAGAAGCAAATCTGGATCAGAAGATAGTTAATATGAATATTAAATATACAACACATACATATCAAGCAAATATTCAAATGATGATGGCTTAAATACTGCCCAGAATAATATCCAGGAATTAAATGTGCTACTGCAGCTGCTTCTGATTCCTCATTTTACAGGATGGTTATTCAGATTAACCTACTAGCTGAAAATTAGAAAATAAAGGATAAAAAATGAAGCTTTTCATCCAAAAATCAATGAACAGCCACAAATATAATGGAGAACCTTAAGGACAAATTTTGGGGGCCATACTGAACCTAAAGTAATAAGCAGAAATTCATAGGGATTCCATTTCTTCCTTGAGGGTTTTATTTAATTATTATTAATATTTTTTTACAGTATTGCACCCTTGGGCTTCAAGTCAGCAGCCTGAAAGGATGAGAGGTGACAAAGGTCTGCTCCATGGGCTAGGAAAGGTGAGATGTCTTATTGAGACACCTTCTTCATCTCAAGCTGGGACCTCAGAGGCCACAGATTCAGAGCAGTGACACACCAGAACTAACCCCCACCTCTCACTTCAAGTCACAGAACATTTTAGAGAAGACTCTATCTGTGCTGAGCACAGCAGGAGAAAAATAAAAGGGAAAAAGTATCTTAAAAGTTGTGTGTATGGGCACCTGGGTGGCTCAGTCGGTTAAGCTTCTGACTCTTGATTTTGGCTGAGGTCATGATCTCACAGTTTGTGGTATTGAGCACCAAGTTGGGCTTTGCAGTGACAGCACGAAACCTTTGGGATTCATTTGGGATTCTCTCTCTCTCTCTCTCTCTCTCTCTCAAAATAAATAAATAAACCTTAAAAAAAATGTTGTGTTTAATGGATGGGTCATTGTGTACATTTACAGACTGGACATCATAGTCTGGGTAGAGCAGGGAACCTTAGGCTATGAATTACATTTGAGATGGTTTCCAATTACTAGTGCCCTCAGGTGCCAGACAGAGACAAATAACCACAGAGACCTTTTAGAAGAAAGAATACCAACATAGGAATCTGAAAACACCCATGATTTTTTTTTTTTCAAGAATCTTGCCTACCACACACTCATACAACTAGGCACACAAGAAAACAAGGTGATTGACTTAAGACCTGCACAAATAACAGACAGCAGAAGAGGGATAGAGACCTCAGATAACAGAATGTTTATAAAAAGTTTAGATTATGCTTCCTGTGTTAAAATGTATATGGTCTTGAAAGTATATTCAGATAATAGTAAACAGCTGTAGACAATAGGAGACTCAAAAAAGAATTAAATCGAACTTTTAGACATTTAAAAAAATCTAATACTAAACATTAAAAAAAAATAATGGGTATCTTAGAATAGCTTAGGTGTAGTGTTTTAGTCCACTGAGGCCACTATCACAAAAAATACCATAAGCTGGATGGCTTATAAGCCACAAACATTTATTTCTTACAACTCCGGAGGTGGGGAAGTCCAAGATCATGGCACTGGCACATTGGGTGTCTGGTGAGAACCACTTCCTGGTTCACAGGTGGCCCCTTTTCATTGTGTTCCTCACATGATAGAGGGGATGAATAAGTTCTCTGAGGTGTCTGTGATAAGAGAACTAATAGCAGCCATGAGGACCCTGCCTCCTACCCCTGGTAATAATGGTAACATTGACCATTACTGTGGGGGTTAAGATGTCAATATATGAATTAGCAGGGACACAAACATTCAGACCGAGCATTCAGCAAAAGGGAACATTAGTAAACTGTCTTATCAAACAGAGGACAATATTTAGAATGTAGCACAGAGAGACAAAGGGAAAATACAAAAAGGAAGGTGAGGGACATGCCAATTATAACATATGTTTGTGGAGTTCAAGAGAAAGAAAAAAGAATAAAATAAAAATAGTATTTAAATAGATAAAGGCTGACAGGTTTTCAGAATCTATAAAAGACAGTAATCCATGAAATCATGAGGTTCAGTAAATTGTCAGTGAGATAAATACAAAGAAAGCCACATATTGACATATCCGAATGAAACTGCAGAAAACCAAAGACAACAAAATCTTAAAAGCAGTGAGGAGAAAAAAACAATGGAATAAAGATGATGGAGAATCATCATTTTCAGTGTAATGCAATAACTTCCTACCCAGCAAAAATAACTTTCAAATATGAGGGGAAAAACAAAAAACTGAGAGAGTTTTTCTACCAACAGAACATCTCTCAATGCATTAAGCAATTTCTGTTAGAAAGAAGAAAGGGATTTCAGATTTAAAAAAAATTAAGATGCAAGAAGAAACAATAATAATAAAATAGCAGGTAAGTATGTGGGTAAAAGTAAAAGACCATGAACTATATAAAGAAAAAATGATAATGTCCAGTGAGTTTACATAATAGCATCAAAATTAAAGTGCTGGACAGCAATAACATGTAAGTTAGGAGGGGTCTCAATAGAGTTCATGTGATCTCCTTTTTTATATAAGGAAGACAAATGAAGCTACTGATAAATTTTACATTTTGGTAAATGAAGTATGACTATACTCTGATTTCTAGAGGAATCACAATATTAGAAGTTTCAAAGTGGCAAGTGGAATGAAATGAAGTAATAAAATATATTATTTCATTTCAAAAGGTGGTCAAAAAGGGAGCAAATATATACATATATATGGGTAGAAACATATGGGCCATATGGGACAAATATAAAACACAAATAAAATGGTAGATTTAAACCTGAAAATTTCTGAAATTGTATTAAAAAGACTGAAGGGACTAAGTTCTCCAGCTAAAGGACAAAAATCGTTAAGCTGAAGAATATCCACATTTAACTATATGCAATTTACAAGACACATGAGGAAGTCTGAAAAAAACAGAAATGTTGATACTGAAAGAATAGAAAAACATATGTAACAAATATGAGCAAAAGATTCTGATGAGCTATCTTAATATCAGAAAATAGGCTTTAAAGCAAAAACCATTTCTAGGGATGGAAAATCAGCTCATACTGATAAAATATCTGGTTCACCAAGAATATACAATAATATATATTTGTATACACATTGTAACATAGGTGAAACCAAAAAGAAAAGCTAAGAGCTCATTACCTTAAAAGTCAGGATAATGGTTATAAGGTGGGGTACGAGTGATTAAAAAGAGAAACTCAAGAGGCTTTTGGAATGCTAGTTTTTAATCTGAGCAGTAATCACACCAGTGTTAACATATAACTGTTAGAAAAAACAGTACATATACAGGTTTATATAATTTCTCCATATATGGAAATTCCTGATTTATTAAATGAAAAAGCAGACTGCGGGGCGCCTGGCTGGCTCAGTCAGAAGAGCATATGACTCTTGATCTCAGGATCATGAGTTTGAGCCCTACGCTGGGTACACAGATTACTTAAACAAATAAAGAAGAAGAGGAAGAAGAAAAGCAGACTGCATGACAATATATAGAGAGATGTTTTGTTTTATAAATCTACATATTTATCTACCTACAGACACAGAGATATAGTCAAAGGTATAGTTGAAATTTTTATCAGTTATCTCTGGATGGTGGTTGTACACTTTCTTTCTCTTTTCCTATAATATGCATTGTTTTTGCAATAAGGAAAAATGAATAAAAAAAATTTACCACTCAGGAATATTAAGTAACATTTCTAGAGAGAAGAGAGGTTGGTAGAAGGATGTGTATCAACCTTGAAAATGGAAAAAGAATAGCTTTGTGGAAAATGAGACATAGATGCTCAATGAGAAGGAAATACTTGGAAAGCAGCAATACTGAAAAGGACTTTAGGATGAGTATGGACAGCAAATTAGATAGAAGCTTGCAGTGTAATGTGCCAGGAATGAGCGCCAATGCTATTTTCAGTTGCAAAAGCACAAGCACCATGGCACAAAACAAGGACAGGAAGCCTCTTTTTATATATATTTGGAAAATCTGACTATAAGGCAACAATTCTATATCAAGCTACTTTTAGCTTAGACTAGGGACAAGGAAGAAAATAACCACCATGACCTAAAAATGATCACAGGGATATGGAACTCTCGAATGAAATAATTTCTCATTCTTGCTTCATAGAGGGCAAAGCCTCTATTAATGCCAGCCCCAAGTTTTACCAAGGTAAAAACATGTATGTTTGAAAATTCTTCTTTAGGGTCTTTCTTAAAAGAGACATATCAAAATAGCCATGAAAGATATAAAAATAAATCTGCATGGGAAACTCGTATGCCTCAAGACTTCAACTTGTTGGAGAAAGCAAAGTACAAGAATTATAAAAGTAGGAGAAATGAATCGTGACACAAGACTGGCATTTAAATGGAGATACAATGCACACTCACTGTCCAAAGGAAATTGTGAGGTTAAGATGTCCAAAATGGCCAAATATGGCAGATATCTAGCTATCTAATGACAACCAAGTTCAGATGGGCAATGCAGACTGCTCCTAGATCCACTGATGGTCAGGAATTGGTTGGTAGAGAGTAAAATCCAGTACCCTTGAAGAAGACGATTTGTTGGCAAGAATTAGCCAGCAAACTAAGGGAAGCAGATGGACTTCAGGGTAGGACTTCAGATCCACTAAGATATTGGATGGCTGTATGATATCTAGCAAGAGACGGAGAAGCTCGGAAGGATATAGCAATCCCTTAGACAGTATAAATACAAAAACCTTAATTGAGAGACTTACTTACAAACCTATGGTCAGAGCCAAAAACCAGGGATGTTGAGGTATCTAGAGACGAGCACGAGCAGGAAGTTGTTATTACTTTTAAGCCTAAAGGAATAAAGGGAGGAAATAGTACTACCGGGGTCTAGTAACAGTTGTAGATATGGAGTGGCTGCCTGTCGGAGGATGAAGTTGTCAGAGAAATACTGTCAAAGCAGAGAAGGAAGAAGGAAAGAAAGACCTTGACCTCTTTCTCTTTCTGCCCTACTATCTCCTGGTGATGCCTCTTACTGGCCAAACTCAACACAAAGCAAGGTGCCAAGGGAGCCTTGGTGGAGCAATCTACAAAAATTAGCCTTCTAGAACAAAGATCAAAGAAGAGAAGGATAGAGAAGAAAATGTGTTGGTGATGATAGGGAGGGAAAACAGAAAGTAACCAGCACAAGTGCTATGTGAGGAACCCAGGGTGGTGGCCAGTTATATACAGGGGGCCAATATGGCAGAGCTGGCCTTTACTGAGTCAGTCCAAAAATAATTTTAAATTACTTCCTATATTGTGGTAGGCCCATTACTAGTCACTGAAGATAAAAACAGTAAGTTGATCCTTTCTCTTAAAAAAAATTTTTTTTAATGTTTATTTATTTTTGAGAGAGATAGACACAGAGCAAAAGTGGGGGAGGGGCAGAGAGAGAGAGGGAGACACAGACTCCAAAGCAGGCTCCAGGCTCTGAGCTGTCAGCACACAGACAGACATGGGGCTCGAACCCACGAGCCACGAGATCACGACCTGAGCTGAAGTCGGACGCTTACACGACTGAGCCACCCAGGCGCCCCAGATCCTTTCTCTCTTTTGTAAAGTTCATTTATTTACTTTAAGACAGAGAGAGAGAGAGAGAGAGAGAGAGAGAGAGAGAGAACATGTGTGCATGCACACGTGGTAGGGGCAGAGAAAGAGAGAGAGGGAGAGAGAAAAGAGAATCCCAAGCAGGCTCTGCACCATTAGCACAGAGCCCGATGAGGGGCGCAAACTTGTGAACCATGAGACCATGACTTGAGCCAAAATCGAGAGCCAGACATTTAACTGAGCCACCCAGGCATCCTGAAGTTGAAACTTTTCTAATGAAGGCTTTGCAGTCTAGTATAGAATTGAAGACAGGCATGTAAACAAGGGCACAGAGAAGGCAAAAAAGAAAACCAGTCACTCTTGGGTTTGGAAGTCAGTAAAAAATGCCATAGAGCAACAAACATTAAAGGCTTGAAATTCAGAACAAGGGAGATATAGAAAGAAATTTCTGGAGAAAGGAACATCATGAGACAGGAAATGGCCTTGTGTGTTTGGATATACAGCAGTTTCATTTTGGTCAGAGAAAACAATGTGAAGAGATTGGAATTGGAAGTTCATAGAGACGAAGCCCATGGACTTCCTTTGACAGACATCTCTCCCTTGGCCAGACTGCTCTAGAAACACAGCAGTGCTAAGCTATGCAAGTAGATGGTATGTTGGTAATGGCGTTTGAGTAGGATGAAAGAATAAAGAAATTCTCACATAATGTGCTACTGATTTAGGGTTTTCATCTTTCAGGATAAGATTAGGAAGAATTAGCAGAATGGGCAAAGGGATAAACAGACTGGAATAAATAACACAACCAAAAAGAAAAATATCATAGAAAGTTCCCAGTGGAAACAGAAGGGATGAACTTCAAATACGTGGAAAACATAAAAAGATGGGGACTGTCTGAGAATTAAACTTATTTGATCAATAAATAATCTAAGAAGAAAGAATGTCTTCTAGTCCCAACAGAAACACTATTGACTTAGTGCATTTATTAACATAGTCAGTGATATGGAGTCATTGTATAGATAAAGCTTATCAACCAAAGGAGATAGCCAGCATAGAATGATAACATCTAACAATGAATCTGTATTGTGTACATAAAACTTTTTAGGCAAGAAAGACACCAAATCTGGAAGGACAGAGTGGGCAATTTGGCTGCATTCAAATTCATCAGATATCATTTTTTCATTTATGCTCATCACAAAGCCTTTTGAGTAATAATTGGTCTTTTTCATATATCTTAAGGAAGCCTTGTTATGTGGTATACTAGACCATTTTTTGGAAAGGTTACCAGAACAGAGCTGTTGGCCATTATCTCTTTCCAACTTAGTAAATGGGACCCTTTCTTTGAGAGTCTAGTTTGCCACTGTGCCTTTACGATACAATTTTTTGACCTGTAAGACAGACAGTCTAACCTAACCCTAGGATACAGTGAAGTTACAAATAATTCTACCCTTTGGAGTCTCTTTGCAGTCTTGCTCAGTTTCCTCTGGCAACCATGAAACCTCATTGCCTCCATCCCTTTGGATTTTCTGTATCTTAAAAATAGGTTAACTTGTCTACAGGAGCGAATGTTAAAGTCTTAAGTAGAAATCACACTTCTAGAAATATTTCAATAAAATAACTACAGCAAGCATGTAGATATAACAGTTGATCAAAGCACAGCCACCCAGGCTGTAAAATAAATTTAGTTCATCTCAAGTTCAGTTTCTGCCTTCCATTACGTTATGAAGGAGGAGAACGGTAGAGAACCGGCAGTTTTCAAACATTTGTTGGTTTGTTTTTTGATCCACAGGAATTTCTCCACAAACTAAATCTTTATGGTAACTTGCCATGTAAAAAATACCAGAGTGAAATTCATGGGCAGAAGCAGAGAGGAATAGCCAGAAATTCTGCTGGCTCAATTCTTTCCAAGGCCCATAGTCCTAATGCCTCCCAAGGAGTCCTCGGGGCTCAGTTTGAGAACAGACAACAGAGTCAAGGAATCTGGGAGAAAAAAAAAAATTAAGTAATACAGGTTTTGATCTTGGCTTCAAAACATACTTGAGAATCGCTCTGGTGACTTTTATTTCCTTATTTAGTAGAAACAGGTGCCCACGTATCTCTGGGAAAATAAGGAAGTCATCTTTATGATAAAATGGCCATGGGAATATTTTTAGGTTGCATGAAGCACCCAAACAAATAATAAGACATTTAGACTAAACTCTTATATTTGGAGATCCAAAATCCCTTCATTACATAACCATTTTCAATGGCTTTGTTTAAAGATCATTATTCCCAGAATTTTAAAAGAACACATGGAATTTCATACATAGATATCCATTTCTAAAACAATTAAGCTTTATCTTTGCTGTGAGCTAGGAATTAAAGTCATTCATTCAAGAAATAATTATTGAGCACTTATTATTTCTGAAACATTGTGCCAACACAGTCAAGTACGTGAAGTTGCCCTGACCCTTGACCAACACAGTGGAAAGGAAGGGAAAGGGGACAGAGTTATAGAGTAAATCCATTAATTTATTGTTGAGTGTTATAATGAGTCCTTATTATAGTCATCACAGTCACTCCCAAAAATCTACAAATTAGGTGCCCTTAGTAGTCTTTCTTTGTGTGTGTATAGGTGATCTCCACTGGTTTTCATTCAGTGAGATGAGCCATGTAATGTGTTTCTCCCATCTCCTTCCCCCCCCCACCCCCGCTAAAAAGTAGCTTAACCTGTGAAAATTAGTAATGGGAAACCCCACTAAAATGGAGCCAGAAGGTTTCTGCGAGGAGAGCTCTCAAACCTTGCTATTCTTAGTCAATTGCAGACCCAAGAGGAAGAAGTGGACTTGACTATGCACATGGGCACAACTTTACTATCCCAGCTAAAGGAAGAAATGCTTGCCTTATCTGCCCCTCTGCCATAGCTAAGCCAATGAAAAGTCACCATGCTTTCAACTCCTAGTTTACTCCAATGGACTGTAGTTTCTAACAGCCTTCCCAACTTACAATTTTCTCCTTCAGGAGCATACCTTTCCTTTGTTTCCAGGATTTGTCTATGGTTTTGCCATAGGTTGTTTGTCCAGGATTACAATTCTCTTTTATTCCTGAATAAGCCCATCCATTGCTGGTAAGATAAATAGTAGTTTTTCTTTTTTAAGGCTGAAAAACCTATTCTTGTACCCACTTCTTTCTGACAAAATTGTCTCCTTTTTTTTGGTGTATATCATTGACTATTATGGTTATACTCCATGCTTTTTATTATGTATTCTCAAATACCATTAGCAAATTTTCTTAACTAATACTTTACTGATTTATATTATTAAATACAATATTTAATTTAGGATGGAGGCACCTAGGTGGCTCAGTTGGTTAAGTGTCTCACTCTTGATTTCTGCTCAGGTCATGATCTCACGGTTGGTAGGATAGAACCCCACGTTGGGCTCTGTCCTGATAGCATGGAGCCTGCTTGGGATTCCCTCTCTCCCTCTCCCCCACTCACTCTCTCTATCTGTCTAACTCAAAATAAAGAAATAAACTTTTAAAAAATATTTAATTTAGGATGTAAACAATTACTGGAAATATCACTGGCCAGGACATAGTCTTATTTGATTTAGGCCAAGTCAGGAAGCACTAGAAAAAAAATGGCAGCATCTTCTTCATATTAAATTCAAACTCAGCATTATAATTTCTCTAAAGGTACACAGTAGGATCTAGAAGATGAAGCTGAAATAACAGTTTTGCCTTGGTCTGGGTGAAGGCATTGCTCTGTCATTACAAAAGAAATCAGCCACTATGACATATATTGGATGCACACATAAACCATAGTGTTCCAGGAAGGCAGGTGGGAATCAATGCATAGGGATTCTTCAATTCTTAGAAGCCTAAGGGTCTCCACTAGCATCCTCAAATCAATACAGGAATTATCTCATCCTTCTCTGCTAATTGTCTTTTTTGGTTAGATGCCTGGGTATGAAAATACTGGCTTGGGAAAGAATTGAATCTAGAAGGTAAGTGTCCAGTTTTTAAATGACTTTTTTTTCCTGGATAGGGCTTTGTTTTTCCTCAGAAAAGTAATGGCATAAGCCTTAAAGCATTTCCACCATTCAAGTTTCAAGTTAAATTGCAGCATTTACCCTGATACAACACTGCAGAAAATCCCAATCTGGTTGGTAGCCGCCGCTTTCGGGCACTAGGGATATTTTTTTCTTGGAATGTTTTGTCATGACAGTTAGGTCAACTTCAGTTAATGAGGATCGTTCAGATTGCTTGTGTTAGAGATGTATTTGAGGAAGGCTTTGGAAGTCCATGCTGGAGACGCGATAGTACCTGACATCGTAATAGTTCTACCATGTGCTGAATAAATTTATCTTTCACAATTCCCTAGCTGCTTAATTACTCAAGACTGATTGCTACCTGATTCAAGAGGTAAAAAGCAAGAGCAGAGTGGATTAAGCAGCATGAGGTATATTTACAAATCTTTCCATTTTAAGTGTCTAAACTAGCATCAGCTACCCTTGAGATAAACAGTATCACCAAAATGAGTCCATATGCTTCTCACCCTGAGTAAAATTGTGTTATATAATAGTACTCTTCCTCATTCCAAACCTCCAACTATCACTGGAGGAAGCTTGTTTGCAGTAAAAAGTGCAATATGGAGGTGGATTCCAAAGAAAATGTAGAATCTTAAGGAGTCAGGATATAATTACTACTAATGTTGGACAGTGCTATACAATAAAAAGTACATGCTACCTGAAATGCTTGGCATAAAATTCAACTTCTTACTTGTTATGCCAAAAATCTGTTCCCTTCCCGCCTCCTTTAAAAGGTCTACAAAAACCAGCTAGTGAGACGATGTTTTAACTTATTAGAAACTTACGTCTCAGAATATCCATCCCAAAGCTACAAAAGAACAGACATCAATATCAGAAAATCAGAACTAGGGGCGCCTGGGTGGCGCAGTCGGTTAAGCGTCCGACTTCAGCCAGGTCACGATCTCGCGGTCCGTGAGTTCGAGCCCCGTGTCGGGCTCTGGGCTGATGGCTCCGAGCCTGGAGCCTGTTTCCGATTCTGTGTCTCCCTCTCTCTCTGCCCCTCCCCCATTCATGCTCTGTCTCTCTCTGTCCCAAAAATAAATAAACGTTGAAAAAAAAAATTTTTTTAAAAAGAAAATCAGAACTAAAGAAAAACAGAAGAAAAATAGGGACATTAAGATACCCAAACTAAAAACAGCCAAGAGTTCAGACTTTTCTTCCTCTATGAACGTTAACGGCCACAAGAGTCATTGATAAGTCAATGTTTGCAAAATGCCTACTATGGGCACTTTGGAGTAGACATTAGAAAAGATGCCAAGTAGACCCAGTCTAGCCCCCAGTGAACCCCAAACCCAGAAAATAACATGCCATATAGCCTAAGTGTCAAATAAAAGATTCACTGATTAAAGAATAAAGGTGGAAGGGATGTTAAAGACAAATCAGTCCAACTTCCTCACGGTATGAAAGAGAAAACAGGGGAGGCCCATAAGAGGTGGGACTAAACTGGAATCCCAAATCTTCTGATCCCAAGCCATAAACAAGGCCATCGGCCAACCCTTTCCCAAAGGAAGTAACAGTTTCTTACCAAAAGCAAGGTGGCTGCAATTAATATGGCTGGGAAAGAGCTCCAACTGAACATTCTTGATGTCATAATAATAGGCCCTGTCTCTCCCAGCAATGAGTTACTTTGGGGAGGCTTTCGATGGCTTAATGATCCCATGTAAAACAGGTCCTGTGGCAAAAGCAACTTACTGAGAAATATTTCCAAAACCATAACATAATCATTAAAAAACTTTAGCCAACTCTCAAATCTTAGAGGGCCCATTACGTGCTAAACACTGCTATTTCTGGTCTAGGGAAACAGCAGTGCCCAGGAAGTAACACCTTAAATGCCTGGCAAAACCCTCCCCTTCCGAAGTACTGATCCTGGCTTCAGCAGAACTAACCAAGAGAAGCAGCTACATATGTTTCTGATGAGTTCTCCCAGTGGCCTCCCCATCAATAAATCCTCACTTATCACCATGATCTGTTTAAGATACTAGCCCAACAAAGTTTGTAGAGTGTTTTTCTAAAAATTTTGACCGGGGCCCACATTATGAAAAACATCTTCCACTGGGATCTGTTATACACATATGTATTATACTGAAACTAAAGTATTGCTACAATGATACTTTACTATGTGCAATACCTTCTGCTATTTCCTATTTCTTTCTATTTTCTTTCCTTCTCCTTAAGTGAAACATAAATGTGGATCATGATATGTTAAACTGACCTAGTGACTCGAATAGAGCATAACTCATTTGGGAAACACTGAGAGACCATTCATTCATTAATTCCACATTAATTTTTAAGGCCTATTCCAGGCCAAGTACTGTTTGAAGTACTAGAAAACAATGGGAATGGAACAATGAAAATTTATGTTCTTTCGGGGCTTATATTCCATTGCTGGGAGATAGAAAATGAACAAGTCCAAAGGCAAATTGTATTGTATAGTAGATACTGATGAGCTCTAAGGAGAAAACTGAAGCAGAGAGGAAGACCAGAAGGTGAGGGTGCTTGTGGTTTGGGATAGAGTGGCCAGGGGAGTCCCCACTAAGAAGGTGATATTTGCATTAAAAGCTGCAGGAGGTAAGGAAACAAGTCTGCAGGTATCTGAGGAAGAGCTTTCCAGGTATAGAGAGAGAGACGGGCTGAACCTGGGGCCAGAGGGACAACAGATGTCAGTCTTGTTGGGACTTTGGAAATCACTGAATGTTTGTATCCATTGAATTTGGTTTAGATGGGAAGCTAGTATAGGATTTTGAGCAGGTGAGTGATATGATCTGACTTACAATGTAACAGAACGACTTTGCCCAGTGAGACCATTGGTACGGCCATCGAGCCATACCCTTCCCCTCACAGAGCAATCACAGAGGCCCACGATTCCCAGGTCTGGGAACTGTCATTCCTATACAGTTCTGTATAACCCCCTATCTGACCATCTTCTCATCTTTCCCACCTTCCCCCTCCCCTCTGGAACGCATTCCTGTCATCACTAAGATTCCTTACCTCCAGAATCTCTTCCCCAAATATAACCTTTAGCTTCTTGCTCTAACGAAAGCTGGCCATCCCCCGAGGACACTGCTTTCCTGGCTGTCTCCATTGGAGGCCTCTTTGTTCTCCTATTCCTCTTGTGTTATCGGACCTGAAAGTGTTATAGGTGCTGTCCTCTACCGCATGGGAAGTCAAAGATGTTGTTCATCTTCCTTAAAAACACTTACTCTTTTGAAGGTAGGCCACGTAGTATGCAACTTATTCCTTTTTTTAAAAAAAATTATTATTATTCATTTACAAACCTCAGGATCAGTCTCTCTCATTTGCTAAAGATTTAACATAGGACTCAATGTGTCAGTGGCCATCACAACCCTTGTCATAATTTTTCATGACTTCAGATTCCACAGAGAAAATCCCTTCTATACTCAGGTCCTTTGAACTCATAATGTCTTCAATCCTACATTTGTCTCCCAGCTCAAAATGATCAAGTCATGGTCATTTTCATTAGTAATAATCTCTTCTCAAGACCTTGATACCATGCATCTCTAGAATCCATCTCTTTCTTTTCCAGCTCACTCCCATTATGATTGCGTGGCAGATCTCTGTTTCCAAAGATGGCCAGAACGGTCGCTCCCATTCCACCTGTTCTTCTGCAATGTGACTCCGCCTCTCTCTCAACTCTCTGCCACTCTCTGAAGTGGTACAGTCCCACTGCCGTCCTCTTGAACCTGAGCTAGCTTTTCTGAATGGCATGCGGTCAACAGGATATGGCTGATGTGATGCTATGCAACTTCTGTGACCAGGTCAGCCCTGCAGTTTTGCCTTGCTCTCTTGCAATACGTTTTTCTTGGAGCCCGAGTCGCCAGATTAGAAACCTGACTACCTTGAGAACACCATGCTGGAGAGGACACATTTAGAGGCCATCTTCAAAATTCTAGGCTGAGGGGCTCCTTCAGAAATCCCAAACTTGGTACCAGCCATGTGAGCAAAGAAAGCATCTTAGAAGTGGTTGTTTTAGCCCCAGCCGTCCCAGCCCTTGGACATTCAAGTGACCCTGAGCCGAGGCTCTAGACATTGTAGAGATGGGAGAAATTGACCTCACTGTACTCTTTCTAAATTACTGACCTTCAAAACCCATGAACATAATAAAATGGTTGTTTTGTACTACGAAGTCTTGTGGTATTTGTTATACAGCAATCGATAACCAGAATAGACTCCAACCTCAAACAATTTTCTGACCTCACAGAAAATCCTAGTATTTTGACCCTATCACTTTTTTGCTATGATGATGATGGGAAGTAAATCCTCATTGCCCTTATTGTTTGACTTAATTTATATGAGAGAGACAGTTAATAATTCATTAAATAATCCATTTACTCTCCTACATTTTCCATACTTCCTTTAGCTACGTTATGGCCATGTGTCTAGTTCTGGCCAATAGAATATGATGAGAAATAACTATCAATTCACGCGCAAGGCAGTTATAAGTTGGTGTGGTTTCCCTAACTATTCTCTTTTCTGTGTACACAGCTGGGACCACAAACTCTGAGAAGACAAGATGTTGCATGACAGAGGCAACATCTCGACCCCTGAATTTCTGCTGGAGGAAGAGTTCCCAAAGAAAGCTTCCTGATCCACACTAAACTGTAGTATGAGCAAGAAATCAATCTTTGTTGTGTTAATCCAACTAGATTTAAGGCATTATTTGTTATTGCAACATGGTTAGTTGACCCTAACTAGTAAAATTTTCATGATCTGTCATTATAGTCATTCTTCTGCATACACTATAAACCTTCTTTTTTTTCCCCCCTGTAAGGTTTTCTCCAATTAAATTCATGTCATTGCTTACTCAACCCCTCCCCCAAGCAGCTATATATGGCTGGAGGTGGGGCACTGACTCAGCAACAATGCCAATTGATTTCTTTTCTAAATCCGTAAACGCGAACTTCAAGTGGTTCCTTGTGCTTCTTAGCTGTTCACCTAGCTTTTTTTTCTTTAATTTATTCTCCAATTTCCAAAGCCACTCTTTCAAAATCTCTTCACTTTCCTCAAATCAACACCTCCTCTCCCAAATTTATTCTCAGCTGATAACTTGCTTCATATTTTACTGACAAAGTTGAAGCCACAGAAGAGAATTTCCACACACTCCCACCCCCACATGTACCAATCTATCTGGATCTGTCCATATATTTTGCTTTCTCTTTTCTTAACCGGAGATGAGCTGTCTGTGCTCTTATATAAAGCCCATGACTCTAGTTGTGTTCTGAATCCAGGCCCATCTCTCCTACTCAATGACATTGCTTCTGCAATTTCTTCCTATCTTTGCTTTACTATGAAGCTTTCTGTACTGCGCATCCCAATTAGCGTACAATCATTGTTTCTCTGTGATGTAACACTCCTTGGAAAAATTATCATTACTCACTGTCTTCGCTTCTTATGCTCCAAGCTCTACTCAACCTCTTTGTTACTCGCAGCACGCCTCCAAAGCAATTCTTGTCAAAGTCACCACTGACCTTCAAGTTGCTAAGTCAAATGACCAAGTCTCAGTTCTCATTGGACACAACTTCTTAGCAGCTTTTGAAACAGTTGATGTCTAGCTTTTTCAGGAAACACCTTCTTTACTTGGCTGCTGGGACACTATTTTTTGATTCTCCTGCCATCTCACTGCCTGATCCTTCTTAATGTCATTTTTCTACATCATCTTCATTTTCCCAATCTCTGAGCATTGGAAAGCTTCAGGGCTCAGATCTTAGACTTCTATTTTCTATCTATATTTATCTTTCCAGTTGATCTTGTCAGATCTCATGGCTTTTATTATCAGCTATGCCATGATAAGTCCAAAATTTATATTTCCAGCTCCAACTTACTGATTTTACTTCTGAACCTGATCTACATACTGCCTTAGCCCACATTTTTCCCACTTGGATGCTTCATAGGTATATCTAACTTACCAGATAGAAGAGTAAATCCCTAAAGTTTTCCTCTACCACTGATTCCTTCCATAATCTCCTTATGACAATAAATAGTAAATGCTTTCTATTAATTATTCAGTCCTCAAAGATTGGGGTCATCCTTGACTCTTCTTTTTCTTACATACCACATCCAATCCTGCAGCAAATCTTGTCAATTCTATTTTCAAATATACATCCTGAGTCGAATCCCTTTTTACCACTGTCCCTGTTCTCATGGTATTTCAAGTCACCACCATTATATCCCATAAATTTTTGTGATAACCTCTTACACAGTCTCCCTATAACCATTCTCGATCCACTGCAGACTAATTTTCACACTGTAGCCAAAGATGCCTTTAGAACGTAAGTCAGGTCATACTCTAATGTCTCAAATGCTTCAGATAGCTTTCCATCTAAAGTATTCTCAGTGCCCTACATGATCTGGCTCTTCACAATTTTCCTAACTCCATCTCATAATACTCAGACAGTTGTCCACTCTGCTCCAGCCACACTCCCTTTCTTGCTGTTCCTCAACTTTACCAAGAGAAGTCCATCTAAAAGACTGCATTTATAATTGGCTTTGTCAGAGACGCTCTTCTCAGGTTGCCACATGGATACTTCTTTACTTCATTTAGCTCTCTACTTCAATTTCTTTCTTTTTGTTTTTTTAGAAAGTCTTTTCTCTTACCACTTATGCTCTTTATCCCTTATCCTGCTTTATTTTTGCACTTTATAGCACTTATCTTATTTGTTTATTGTCAGATGTCTCCCCTTTGCAGGCCAACAATGTAAGATCCATGTGGGCAATAACTTGATCAGTTCTGTTCAGTGCCTTTTACTCTAGAATCCAAAAATACCTGGAACATAGTAGGTGCTCAATAGATATTTGAATCCATTAATAAACAAATGAACATGGAGCTCATGAACATGGAATTTTGAGCATGGAGTTTTAGATGATGAATGAAGTCTTGTAGATGGAAATGCTGGCTTCCCCTGAACAAAACAAGTCAGGTACATGTGTCCATCATCTTTACTCACTATCTTCGCTACCTATTTTTTAAGCTCTATTGAACTTTAAATTAGTCTCAGTACTGCCACAAAGCAGCTCTTGTCAAAATCACAAATGACTAAAGTAAGACTCCTGGCGTATAAAACGAATTCAGGATAGATCGCAAAAATAACAGTGAAGCAAGGCTACTAATGTCTTTGGCAATTATCCACAGAAGATCAGCAAGGAGCCAGGTTGGTACCTGTATGCAATATTAGCCCATATTTCTCCTTCCAGAAAGAGGAAACACATTCACACAAAGCAAATGAAGTAAAAAAAAAAAAAAAAAAAAAAAAGGCTGACAATGAGTTATAAATTAAATTAGTGACATTCTTATTGCTTTATGTTTGCATAGAGAAAAAATGTTAAGCTGGAGTTAAATAGGGTCATTTTAGTCATAATAGGTCATTCCAGAGGTCATATATATGCCTATGATCATCTTTTATAAACCTAAATCTGGAACATACAATTTGAGAGACACGAATTTACTTACAGACAAAATATAAAAATTGGTACAGGTTTAAAAAATGCAGGATGGGGGTGCTTGGGTGGCTCTGGCTCAGTCAGTTGAGCGACTGACTCTTGATTTTGACTCAAGTCATGATCTCAGGGTCATGGGACTGAGCCCCCTGTTGGGCTCCATGTAGAACACGGATCCTGCTTAAGATTTTCTCTCTCTCTCTCTCTCTCTCTCTCTCTTCCTCTCTCTCTCTCTCTCTCTCCTCTCTGCCCCTCTCCCTTGCTCGTACTCTCTTTGTCAAAAAAAAAATGGCAGGATATAAAAGTACAGTACATGTGCCTCTTAAATGGCACCAGGGATATTAAGTGGATGAATGATCAGAAAAAAGAACAAGGCAGGAGCAGTCTAGAAGGAAGACACGTGGTCAAAAACAAGGTAGCTGAAGAGCAGAACATCATAAGTGACATATTCAGCTTCAGGGATAAGTTCTAATGAACACAAAAGGTTTGAATCTTGAGGCACAGTGGAGTGAATATTCACTACCTCAGATAAATCCTTGTGGGAAGATAGGATTAGAAATAAAAGTTTGCCAGAAGAGTTGGGCTTCTTTGCCTTACACCCAACTAACTTCATAGTATGCAGTTTGGATACCATATACAATGTGATCAATCAAAGGACTATTTTCAACCAATGCCACGTGTACCCCTAGAAGATATAGATCTGCCAAACTGAACTTACTGATGCTCAATAGCACATTCCACCTCATCACCTTCATGGAGTTGTGCTCTGAATGCAAGGTTGTGGTTTTTCTATCTAAAGCCTTTCTCTCTCTCTCTCTCTCTTTCATATGTACACACACACACACACGCACACACGCACACACACACACACTAGAAGTCAACAAAGGAGAATGGAGATTAGAGGTTGGAAGATAACGCATACCTTACATGACATTAGAAAGGAATGGTTAAAGGAATGATCTACCTTCAATAGAAAATGAAATAAATAGGGGTGCCTGGGTGGCTCAGTCTGTTGAGTGTCTGACTCTTGATTTCGACTCAGGTCATGATCTTGCAGTTGGTAGTTTGAGCCCCACATTGGGCTCTGTGCTGACAGTGCAGAGTCTGCTTGGGATTCTCTCTCTCCCTTTCTCTGTCCTTCCCTTGCTCTCTCCCTCTCTCTCTCTCTCTCTCTCAATATAAATAAATAACTTTAAAAAAGAAAGAAAATGAAATGAATAATATTGTAGGACCTTCAAAATTTGAGATTGAAAAGCCCAAACCCTTCATTTAATATATGAAGAACTGGGACAAAGTTAAATAAAACATACAAAGTTAGTGGAAAAATTAGAATGAAAGCCCATATTTCCTAGCCCTGTAGGATATTCCTTTCATTTTGCTAGTTCTTGATTTTGGTATCTTTATCATTATGGATCATTTTACAAACAGAACAAAGCACAACCAACAAACTCCCTCTTGATGGAAAAGATATCTGAAATAAGTATTTATTGGTAGGTTTATTGTAGTTATGTTTTCAGAACATACCAAAAAAGTTTACTTCAGAACATTTTAAGGATTGAATTCTATGTATCCTGATGAGTAACCATTCACCAGGCTTCTTAGAGTCTGCATCTACACTGTCCAGAGTTGAGTTATGATCTTAAAGAACACTGAGAGAGGAAAAAAAAGTGTGAAAAGTATGTGTTTCAGGGTCTGGGCATTTGCTTCAGTGCTATGGCTTTACATGTTATTATTTCCTTAAGGAATGAAAACACCACTTTGATTTTGTAGAATTGATACTACAATTCAACACCACTGGAGACAATTTTTCTCCTTATTTGTATTGAATATAGAATTCTATATAACATATAATTTTCCTGATAAATCTTTCCATTACCTACTTAGATTGCCACAGTTTTAGGTATCTAATTTGTCATTTTGAATGAGCCATGCTGCATTTGTGAATCATGCTGAATGTTCCTTATGAATTTTATATTGTTATTTCAAGTCAAGAGACTGAGCTCAAAAAACAAGTATTAAATGGTTCAAATCCAGGCTCATCCTTTATCACTGGTACAAACAAATTTTAATATAGTTCTTTGGGAAAAAGAAAAAAAAAACTTTTGTTAACAAGATGAACATGCATTTAAAGACGATATGCAAAATCCAGGATGACTTTCAATTTCTTGAATCTAAGGGCTGTTTCCTATTGATCATTGAATCCAGCTCACTTAAAGCTTGATAAGATTTACAAAGCATTTGCTGTATGTTCTAAGTTTTAGGTGTATTCTACTCCATTCAAACAACAATTATTTGAAAGTGATACGATTATTACCCTTATTTTATATAAGAGTAACCTGAGGCTTACTGAGATGAACTGACTTACTAGGGGTCACAACGAACTTGGGTTTCCAGATAAAGAAGTTTGACCCCAGTACCTATACTATAAATCTGTTTTGCGGTATTCTCAAAAATGTTTGTTAAAGTGAAAACAAAAAGGGTCTGGATTACCTGGAAGACTTTTTGGCCACACACCTGTGGGGTTTTTCACTTAGTAATAAAATTGTAATTCATAGCTGATTTTAACATTTACTTTACAGCTCAAGACTCTCCTGTTCATGTCAGTTCACCTCGTAGAGGCCATTATTACAG